CTCCTCCCCATGGCGTCCCCCCCCCTCCTACTTCCAGGGCCTGAATGGCGTCAGCCCCCCCGACCCCCCTCCTCCCTCCTTCCGAGCCTGAATGGCGTCAGCGTCCCCCCCCCCCCCCGACAGAGCGAAGCCCCCCCTCAATGGCGTCAGCCCCCCCCCCCGCCTCCCTCCCGGGCCTGAATGGCGTCCTCCCATCCGCGCGCGAGGTCTTTCCCCCCTTCCTCCCTCCCGGCCTGAATGCGTCAGCCCCCCCCGTCCCTCCCGGGCCCTGAATGGCGTCAGCCCCCTCCCTCCCTCCTCCCTCCCGGGCCTGAATGGCGTCAGCCCCCCCCGACAGAGCGAAGCTTGAGCGAGCTCAAGCCCATGCTCTCAGAAACTCACACGGCGGATCGGCGGATTACATTATCCCAGTGCGACACTACCTAGGAGTTGGAGCCTCTAGGAAAGCAACATTAGCAGCAGCAATAGTGGATGCAATGCTGCGCTCTGCTCTGCTCTGCTATGCTATGCTATGCTATGCAATGCTATGCTGCGCAATGCTATGCTGCGCAATGCTATGCTAGGCTAGGGTATGCTATGCTATGCTATGATATGCTATGCTATGCTTTGCTGCGTTGTGCTATACCAAGCAATGGTATGCCATGACATGCTATGATATGTTGCGCTATACTGCGCTATGCGACGCATGCTATGCTATGCTAAGCTGAGCTATGCTATGCTATGTTATGCTTGGCTATGCTATACTAAGCTAAGCTAATGCTGCGCTGCGCTATGCTGCGCTGCGCTAAACTACGGCTAAGGTCAGCTAAGCTATGCTAAGCTAAGCTAAGCCAGGCTAAACTAAGCTCAGCTCAGCTAAGCTAAGCTAAGCTAAGCCAATATGAGATAAGCTAAGCTACGCTAAGCTAAGCCAAGCCAAGCTAGGCTAGGCACAGCTAAGCTAAGCTAAGCTAAGCTTAGCTAAGCTAAGCTTAGCTAAGCTAAGCTGGGTGAACCCAGGGGGCGCAACTGGGAGAACCGCGGGGTGGATGCTGGGGGAACCGCCCGGGGTGGGGACCACTGCCCGGCCCTGTAAGCACACCGAGTAAGAACCCTTCTAGGCAGAGCCTAGGTAGGGAAAACATGTATACACAGGTTTTGGGAGGTCCGCGTGGATCTCTGAGATTGGTGCTGGACCCCTGACGGCGCCCCTGGCGCGCTCCGCGCGCCATGTAGTTGGATCCGGCGCCGATGAGCGAACTTCGCGCGGACCTGCGCAAGCCCCTGTGCATGTTGATCCCCACCCGACAGCTTGGGGTCGTTATTCTAGAACTTTTGACGGAGCTGTCGACCTGCCTCGCACACCCGCATACAGTCGATCCGCATAGCAAGGATGAGCAATTCTAAACGCTTCGCGTATCCCCACCAGCCCGTCCAGAAATGAGCCCCAGGGGAGTGGAGGTGATGAGGGAAGCGGGGGAGCATGCAGAAGAACAAAGGGCGGGGTAAGCCGTCATATACCCCAAGAGGGGGAGGGGATGTAGGAGGACTCGTCGGAGTAGGAGGAGGAAGAGGAGGAGCAGGAGGAGGAGCAGGAGGAGGAGGGGGAGGAGGAGGAGGAGGAGGAGGAGGAGGAGGAGGAGGAGGAGGAAGATGAGGAGGAGGAGATGGAGGAGGGCGAGGACGTGGAGGACGAAAATGACGAAAAGGAGGAGGAGGAGGAGGAGGAGGAGGAGGAGGAGGAGAGGGAGGGGGAGGAAGGAGGAGGAAGAAAAAGAGGAGGAGGAGGATGACAATGGCGAGCTTGGGGGCCTCTTGGGCCGTCTTTGGGGCCTCTTGGCGGTCCTGGGGGCCTCTTGCGTATCTCGGAGGCCTCTTGGGGCCTCTTGGGGGTCTCTTGGGACCTCTCGGGGGTTTCTTGGGGGCCTCCTTGGGGCCTCTTGGGGCCATCTTGGGGCCATCTTGGGATCTCTTGGGGCCTCCTGGGCGCTTTTTGGGGCCATCTTGGAGGAGATCTATCAAAGAAGGGGGGGTGGGAATTAGCGTCGCCCCCCCAGGAGGCCAAAATGGGGCCAAAACCTTTGTAAAATCAATGATTTTGGATTCCTCGCCGAGGCCATCTTGGACGCTCTGCCGACCAGCGGTCCCCCCCGTCCAGGTCCAGGGGAGGGGGTAGGGGGAGGGGTAAACCCATCCCCGAAGGGGAAGAAGGAGGGGTGGAAGAGGAAACTCCCTAAACCACCCACGCCCAGAGGGCTGGTGGGACTTTTGAAGGTTACCCTTGCATCCTTACCCTGCGACCCATCCTTGACCGCTTCCGCTGGCCGCGCCCCGCTTGCAAACTGTCGACATGGCCTTCAAGGTCCTTGCATCCTTACCGCGCGTCCGTGTTGTACGGGTTGACTGTACCGCGGCCGCCAGGTCGAAAGTGTGTTGGTGCTCCGTCGCCCCACGCGTCTTCGACGAGTGACGGCTGAATGCGGCAGCCAGCCAGCCCCATAGTGCGTTGTTGCTTCTCAGGTGGGGTCGCTCGAATCAAAGTACCCAGACGTCCGACTTCGTTCGGCCACGCGCAGAGGGGGATTCGGGGAGGCGTGACTGCGTTTTGGAAGCACCCCTCATTCTCAGAGGGCGCGGGCCTTCTCTGTACACGCAAGGCCCGCGCCTTGTAAGTAAGACGCAGCCTCCTTCTACGAAGCCTTGCACCCTCCCCCACAGACCCCCCCCCTGCGCGCCGCCAAAACGCCCAGACCTCCGACTTCCTGTTCTGTTCCAGACGGCGACCCCTGCAGGTTTCCACCTGTCCTCTGGGAGCGGCGTTGCATCCCGATGCTTTCTTTCTGAAGGTCACGGGACCCCGCGAAGGGTTGCAGAGGCCGACAGTTTCCAGAAACGTGTCGTCTACATACGGCAGCGTTTGTGGCTTCTTCTGCTCCCTCTTTCTTCTCCCCGCCCCTCTCCGGACCTCTCCTGGAGCGCGTTCTGCCCCAGAGTTTCAGATATCCAGCCGTGGCGACGAGGCTTCCCCAGAACGAGTGGCATCGTTAGCCCGTCCTCCTCCGATTTCTGTTTCCTCTTCTTCGCCTTCTTCTTCTTCTTCTTCTTCTGCTCCCCCTCCTCCTCACGCCTCCCCTCCCTCCCTCCCTCCTCCTCCCCGCGGGGGCCGGATGGGCTCCTCGAGCAGCAGCCGCCTCTTCCAACTCCCCCGCCCGTGCTTGCCTGGCCACGGCGCCGGCATCGACCCCGCCGCAGCCGGAGGGCCGGGGCAGTCGCCCCGAGGGCCACCCCCTCGCTCTCGGCGGACGTCGGCGCGATGCCTTCCTTGCGCTGTCCTGGCCTGCTGTTGGGGCTTCTGGCTTCGCGTACAGTCAGGGCCCTGAAGAAGGAACCCTTTTCGTTGGGGAGGGGCTCGGTGTTCCTTAATTGTTTCGCAGCTTGCCTTAGGTTTTCCTGAGGTTTCCAGGGGAAATCGAGGTTGAACTTAAGGGAAAAAGGAGCCTCGTTCCTTATTTAGGGTTCCTTGGGTCAACGCCCCGACTGTACACCGCGGCGCGGTTCTCTCTTGCACCTGCCCCCGCGCTCTGCGCCTTGCGTGGTTCGCCAGGAACGGCGCACACGCCCGCGACCGCCGACGTGGCCGATCAGACAAGTCGCGAGTCGCGACCCCAGTTCTGGCCCACCACGCTTCGGCGCGACTCGGTGTTCACGCGCTCCCTCCCGCCCCGCAGAGCGGAGCGACACGCTGTCCGCTTGCAGGGCATGTCGCGTGTCGCGTTCCGAGACTCGCCACGGGCGCCTTCGACCCGCCGCCCCTGCGGCATGTGTCCACAAGGGTGCTTGGCCTGCCAATATTTGAAAATACAAGGGACAGAGAAGTATGCATATGCATCGCACCTGGCCTGGACCATCCTGGGCCCAGAGTCGGCGCATACGCCCTTCTGGCTGTGCCAGGGGGGCATATGCACTGATCCTGGGCGCAGGATGGGAGTGGCCAGGATCGGTGTATGTGCGTAGTTCTTGTCGTCCCCGACGCTCTATACAAAAGCTTCCGACCATAGCATCAAAGTGGGGGGGGGGGCGAAAGGTCATCCACTGTTCCTGGGCGCGTGGCTGAAGTGGGGTTCCGCTGTGCGAACTGGTGTTGCGCGGTGGTCGTCGTCCTCGCCCGCGACCCCCCTGCGACCCGCCTGCGACCCACCTCGCGACCCACCCCGCGGCCTACCCGCGACCGCACGCGACCCGCCCCCTTACTCTGATCCGCAGCTGCCGGGTGCCAAGTGGCCCGTCAGTCACCGAGCGCGTCCCACGACTCTAGCAAAACACATGCTTGCCTCGACGTGATGGATCGTAGATCCCCCGCGGCGGGGCCAGGCTACTTGCGAGCAGGTGATCGGTTTGTTATTGCTCGTTTTGCCGGTCGGCGCGGGCCGCGGACCCCCCGTTTCCCTCCCCATGTAGTAGACCTTGGCGTTGTCTTGGGCGCCTGTTTCAAGCAGGCGGGCGGTTCCCCACAGGACTCCCATGGGAGCACTCTTCCAAGCAGTCTCGCTGAGCAGAGGTCCAGAGCCAGCCCCCCCCCCGGCCGCCAGCTTCCCCACCTCTCCCCGCGCGACGCGGCCCCTGTGCAGCCCCCTGCCGAGGGCTAGGAGCAGTTTCGACCTCTTGGCTGTAGCTTCGATGGCCACCCGCTGCTGCTTGCCCGTGACACGGCTCGTTCTGGCAACGAGGACGGCCTGTGTCTGAGTTGTTGTTCAATGTCGAAACGCCGAATGAGAAAATGATGGGCTTGTTTTCCACCACCACCACCACCAGAAGTTGGAGGGGAAGGGAGTCCGCGTCCTCCTCCTCCTCCTCCTCCTCCTCCTCCTCCTCCTCCTCCTCCTCCTCCTCCTCCTCCTCCTCCCCCTCCAGTTAAAGTAGCTACTCCGCGAGTGAAGTGGAGCGCGCTTGCTTCGCCGAGGGGCGGGGCGGCTTTCTCCCCCCCTCCTCCCTGGCGCCCTGCCCCCTCCGCCGGCGCGGAGGGGCGGCACGCCGCCGGGCACGCCCCCGGGCGGCACGCCGCAGGGCTTCGGCCCGGGGCCGAGGCGCCGTGCGGGCGTCGGTCGCGCCCGCGACTCGCCATCGCCCCTCTCTCCTCCTGGCGCCCTCCCCCCTCCTCCTCCTCCTTGCCCCCCTCGCCCCTCCCCTCCTCTCTCCTCCTCCTCCTGGTGCCCTCCCCCCTCCTCTCTCCTCCTGGCGCCCTCCCCCCTCCTCCTCCTCCTCCGCCGAGGCCGTCGGCCTCCCAGAGGGGGTCAGAGTAGATTTAGGTCGGGCGTGTCCCCTGAAGGCGGATTCTGGAAGAGAAACAGAGAATAGTCAAAACATATTCAAACGTAGTCAAAGCATACTCAAAACAATTCGTCCCCAGGCTATGGTTGACTATTTTTGAATATTCCTCCTGTAGGGGGACATGCCCGACTTACGAGTAGATTCATCGAGAGGAGAAGAACCCCCAACCCTAATAACACGACGGAGCCGTGGCCTCACTGAGGTCCCCGTCGTTGCACTGGGGACGAAAGATCTGGACGGTCTGGTTCGGTGCGCCTGCAGAAAACACCCGCTGTCCACGATGGTTTTGGCCCTCCTAACTTCCCTGACCTTCCAGAGCGCTAAAAGATAACACTCCAGACCTATAGATCGATCTGGACTGCCTCAAACCTCGACAGGAAGTGGGACGTCGACGTCCTGATGTCATTTTTCAGCCCTCCTGGAAGGCCAGGGTTGGGCCCCCTCCCAAAGGGCCAGGCGTCCTTTTTTCTGGCTGCTCATGGATCCGGTCGGAGGCTCGCGCCCCCTCGCCAGTGCGTCGCCGATGCGGCTCGATGTGGGGCCCGGCTCTCTTCACGCCGACGTCGCCGATGCATCGCCGACGTCGACGACTCATTGCCAGTGCGTCACCGATGCATCGCCGATGCATCGCCAACGCACCGGCGATGCAGCGCGACCCTGCGACCACATCTACTCCGACCCTATCTCGGAGGCCTCTAGCAAGTCGGCCGGTCGGTCGTCGCCGTCGCCGCAGTCGCCGTCCGCTCGGAGGTCCTGGAGAGGGAAGCGCCCATCCGAGGGGGAGGAGTTGGCGATGCCGCTGCTCGTGCTGGAGAGAGCCCTCGTCGCCGCGGCTGGGTTCTCGAGAGTCTGGTCGGGGCGGACCCCGGGAGGTGTCCAGGACGACATGCCCGACCTAAGAGTAGCAGTGCAGTCAACCCGCATGGTAAGGATTGGCAATTTTCCCAAAGGTACCCTTGCATCCTTGCCTCCTCAGTCCATCCTTGGCCACTTTCGTTGGCCGCACCCCGCTCGAAACGCTTCGAAATGAGCGTCCAAGGCCCTTGCATCCTTATCGCGCCTCCTTCTGATACGGGCCGACTGTAGCGGTATCCTCAGACCCCTTCCAGTCATGACCAAAAACATGACGGGAGGTTTTTGGCTATGTGTTGCCTCTGAGGGCTTTCGCTGGGCCCCAGTCAGTCTTCAGAAAAGGCTCGGTATGAAAAAACGTGACGGGAAAGGGCCGCGACTTCCAGGGACCACGTAATGAAACAAAGCAAGGCGTCGCATGTCTGGGATCGGTCGTCGTCGTCGCCGTCGCCGTAGTCGTCGCAGTCTCGGAGAAGCAAAGGCAGCGTGTGTATATTCGACGCGGAGATTCCCACATGTGCATCTCGTTCCCTGAGAATTTTCGCTGTGAACGTCTGGCTGTGAGCGTCGGAGTGCGGGAGCGAGCCCGACTCGACGACAGCTACGGCGACGACAACGGCTCACAGGCGGACAGGCGGTGAGCGGGCCCATTCCCCTCTCCTGCCTCTGCCTCGTCGTCGCAGTCCCCTCCCTTCTCTTCCTCCCTCCTTCCTTCTCCGTCCTCCTGCGTCCTGCTTCCTCCTCCATCCTCCCCTCCTCCTCCTCCTCCTCCTCCTCCTCCTCCTCCTCCTCCTCCTCCTCCTCCTCCTCCTCCTCCTCCTCCTCCTCCTCCTCCTCCTCCTCTCCTCCTCCTCCTCCTCCTCCTCCTCCCCCCCCTCCTCCTCCGCCTCCTCCTCCTCCTCCTCCTCCTCCTCCTCCTCTCCTCCTCCTCTCCTCTCGCTCCTCCACCGCCTCCTCCTCTCCTCCTCCTCCTCCCTCCTCCTCGCCTTCTCCTCCTCCTCCTCCTCCTCCTCTTCCTCCTCCTCCTCTCTTCCTCCTCCTCTCCTCCTCCTCCTCCTCCTCCTCCTCTCCTCCTCTACTCCTCCTCTTTCTCTTCCTCTATGGCGGTCCTCCTTCTTTCTCCTCCTGCATCCTCCTCTTTCTCCTCCTCCTCGTCCTCCCTCCTTCCTTCTCCGTCCTCCGTCCTCCCTCCTCCCTGGCAAGTGTCCCCGCCCCTGACGGCCTCCTCCCGTTTCCTCCCGCTGCCTCCTCATCGCAGCCCTTCCTTTCTCCTTTTCCATCCTTCCTTCTCCATCCTCCCGCGCCCTCACCATTCCTCCCTCGTCCTGCATTGCCATCCCCAGCAGCCGTGCATCAGGCCGAGGCGAGAGAGGGCGGAGGTTCGAAGCGAGCGCCTCGCTCAAGACGTGCCCACGATCCGGGCGCGCACGGGCGAGAGCGCCATGACCCCCCCCCCTTGCGGCTCGGGGCATCCCCACGGGCGGCTCTGAGAAAAAAGCAGAGGGGCCCCAAGGCGCCGTGGCGCAGGCAGACCACTCGAGACGACGCCCCCACGCCCTGGCCGCGATTTTCGTTGCCGAGCGCCCTGCCCCCATGGCCGTGGCATCGCTCGGACGTGTGCATCTTTTTCTCGGCGAGAACCACCGAGGACCATCGAGCGAAGAAAAACACGCACGAAACCGAAACGTGCACGGGAAAGGAACGTCCGAGCGACGGGGAGGTGCTGGCTTCCGCGCGGGGCGTTGCAGAGCCAGCGCCTCGCCGGAGAGAGCTCCGCACGAGCTGCGCTGGGAGGAGCAGGGGAGCCCATGGGCAGCCGCACGGGCACCGCGCGAGACCACCCCTGGCAGCCCTCCTCCTCCTCCTCCTCCTCCTCCTCCTCCTCCTCCTCCTCCTCCTCCTCCTCCTCCTCCCCTTCCCTCCCTTCCCCTCCCGAGCGGCCCTCCCCGCTCGCCGCCGACCCTCTGGACGCCCTCCTCGCCGCACAGCGCCTCGCTCGAAACGCCCCCCATGCTTTGCTGTGCAAGCAGGGGAGTCTGGACAACCAAGCAGGCGCCCCCCCCCCCCGGCCGGCATCCCCACAAGCTGGGCGCGAACGGGGCCGTGCAACTACACCTGTCAGAGGTCAGCAACATATGTACACGTACGCGGTTAGCTTCCCCTGGAGTGCGTGTCAACGCGGACGTTCGTGCAGGCAAGACCGCGGAGGGCGCACATGTGCATATGTCGTTGCTCGCCCAACCTGGCGCCTTGCCCTTGAGGTGCTGAAGTCAGCGCCTCCCTCGAGACATCCTCACAACCTGCTCTAATTACAAGCAGAGGAGCCTGGGCAGCCAAACGTGCAAATTGCCTGACCCCCACCAAACTCTGGACGCGGACGGGGCCGTGTACACAATTACCCCTGGCGGCTTCTCCTTGCAGTGCTGAGGCCAGCGCCTCGCTCAACGGTCTGCCCTGAAAACAACAGCGCTGGGGCAACCAAACAGGCAAACCGCCCGAGGCATCCCCGTCATTCGGGCGCGAACGGGGCCGTGCAACCACCTTTAGGGGTTCTCCCTTGGGGTTCTGAAGCCAGCGCCTCGCTCGAGGCACCGGAGGCCTGCGCAACCGAGCAGTTAAACCGCCTGTGGCACCCCCGTCAACTTGGCGCGAACGGGGCCGTGCAGCCACCTTTGGCGGCCTTCCCATGGGTGCTGAAGCCAGGGCATCGCCCGAGAAATCCTCACCGCCTGCCTTTAAAGCAGAGGAGCTTGGGCAACCAAACAGGCACATTGCCTTGGACGTTCCCACGATCAGGGCGTGAACATGGCCGTGCAACTACCCCTGGCGGCTCCGCCCTTGGGTGTTGAGATTGGCGCCTCGATCGAGGCATCCTCACAATCTGCGAGTCTAAGTGCGAGTGCGTCGCAAATCCAAGTGCGAGTGAGGCTGATTGTGCGTGAGCCGGTGTGCGCGCGACTCTGAGTGTGAGTGAGTCTGAGCGTGAGTAAGTCTGAGTATGAGTGAGTCTGGCTGCGAGTGAGTCTGAGTATGATTGATGAGTATGCATAACGTGTCTGGGTGAGGAAGATGACGTGAGTGAGTCTGGGCTGGAGGGTACCTGAGTATGAGCGAGTCTGAGTGAGGAAGATGAAAAGGAAGTCTGATCGTGCGTGAGTCTGAGTGTGAGCGACTCTGAGGGTGAGTGAGTCTGAGTGTGAGTGAGTCTGGGCATGAATGAGTCTGACTGCGAGTGAGTCCGAGTGCGAGTAAGTCTGGACACGAGTGAGCCTGAGTATGATAGAGTCTGGGTGTGAATGAGAGAGTCTGAGTGGGGAAGATGGTGTGATTGAGTCTCGGTATGAGTTAGCCTGCGTGTGAGTGAGTCTGAGTATGAGCGAGTCTGGGTGTGGAAGCCGAGGATGTGAGTGAGTCTGAGTGCGAGTTAGCTTGCGTGTGAGCGAGTCGGAGTATGACCGAGTCTGAGTGCGAGTTAGTCTGAATACGAGTGAGTCTAGGTGAGGAAGAGGAAGAGTGGGAGGACAGGGAGATGTGCGGTGTGATCCAGAGGCGTCTGAGAGCGAGTGAGCCTGAGTGTGGATGAGAAAGTGGGACTATGAGTGAGTCCGAGCGAACGAGGAAGAGGATAATGAAGATCAGGAGGAGGGTGAAGCGGAAGCGTCGGAGGCGCACACTCAATCACAAGAACCCTGGGAAACATAAACAACGGTTGGAGGCGCGTGCGGAGTTCTGTTCTTGGGTCGGCGCCGTGACCCCCTCGGCGGTGCCTCCGGCGCAGGCCCTGGCGCGGTTCGCGCGCCAGGGAGAGGGTCTTGGCATCGCTCGGGCGTGTGCATTTTTTCTCGGCGAGGACCATCGAGGACCATTCTGGACGATCGAGCCAAAAAAACACGCACGAAACCGAACAATGCACGGGAAATGGACGTCCGAGCGACGGCAAGGGGTGTGCCGCGCCGATCCACGACATCCGCGCAGACCGCCGAAGGCCAATGTTCAATCTGATGTTTCGTCTCTCGCCGTCGTCGCCATCGGTCGTCGGCCGTCGGCATCTGCCGCCGTCGTCCACCGCCGCTGCCGTCACACCCCGACGTCCAGCGTCCTGGGAAAATCAGGAACGAGGGGTTGTCGTCGTTTTTGGACCCAGTCCCCAGTCGGGCCGAGGAGGAGGAGGAGGAGGAGGAGGAGGCGGAGGAGGAGGGATGGGGAAGGGGAGGGAGGGGGAGAGGTAGGCAGGAGGACGAGGAGGAGGAGGAGAAGAAGTGAGGAGTAGGTGGAGGAGGAGGAGGAGGAGGAGGAGGAGGAGGAGGAGGAACCAGGGAGGGGAGGATTTGAGGCAAACTCTTTTAAGACGTCGATGTTAGTTGAAAGGCTGTTGCTGGGAGCTGGGGGCAGTTTCGTGTAGCAGTGCCATGCCTGCGCCGTCGATAGCTCTGCATTTGTGTTCACATCCTCCTTCGCCTTCTCCTCCCCCGCATCCCTCCTCCCCCTCCATCCCTCCCTGACTCCCTCCCCTCCCTCCTCCTCTGCCTTGTCCTCCTCCTCCTCCTCCTCCTCCTCCTCCTCCTCCTCCTCCTCTCGGATTTCGATGGCCGAGCCTACAAGGCGGCGGGCACGCCACCGCGCGAGCTCCAAGGCCAACCTCTGCTCTGGGGAGGGGGGGGCGTCGGGCAAGGGCCGGGCCGAGGCTGGCGTCGGCTGGCGAGCTCGCCGGCGCGCACTCCGGGGCCGCCACGCCCCCGTCGCCGGCGCGCTCGGGGACGTCGTTCCGGGGGCTGGCGGAGTCGCTGAACCAGCAGGCGCCATGCCGCTGCCGCAGCTCGCCCGCCCCGGCTCCTCCTCGCTCGTCCTCGCCTTCGCCCGTGGTCAGCGGAGGGAGAGGTGCCGATACCGCTGCTCGTCTTGGAGAGCTCTCGTCGCCGCGGCTGGATTCTCTTCGGAATTCTTGTCAGAACGCACCCCAGGAGAGGTCCAGGGAGTGGTGGTATCGATACCTGTTTGATTCCCCACGTGGGACTCCTCCTTCAGCTCCCCTTCCTCCCCCATCGGAGTCCTCCGTGCGCTTCCCCTCCACCCCCTCCTCCTCATCCTCCTTCTGTGCTCTAAGTTTGGCTCAAGGCGGCAACTCTGCTGCCGCTGCATCTCTGGACTGCCGACCTCTTCCTTTGCTTTTTGGTATTGTCCGCCTGAGTCCGTGTTCTTTCTAGTGGTGAGTGTTTTTCCTCCTCCTCCTCCTCCTCCTCCTCCTCCTGCTCCTGCTCCTGCTCCTGCTCCTCCTCCTCCTCCTGCTCCGCCCCCTCCTCCTCCTCCTCCTCCTCCTCCTCCTCCTCCTCCTCCTCCTCCTCCTCCTCCTCCTCCTCCTCCTCCTCCTCCTCCTCCTCCTCTCTCCTCCTCCTCCTCCTCCTCCTCCTCCTCCTCTCCTCCTTCTCTCCTCCTCCTCCTCCTCCTCCTCCTCCTCCTCCTCCTCCTCCTCCTCCTCCTCCTCCCCATCTGACGCATCTAACGCCAGGGCGCTGCGCCCTGCCCTGCTGCAGAAGATCAGTGAGACCGAGGGGGAGGGGGGGGGCGACTTCGCCGCGCGGGCGCCCCCCTGCGCCTATCGAGCGGTGCCCGTCCCATCCCGTCCCCGTGCCCGGCCTCTGGGTCAGAGCTCTCAGGGATGCTTCTGTGGGGTCCCTCCGCAGCGCTGCTCGGGGGCCTCTCAGAGGGGCCGTTGTGGGGGCCTCTCGGGAGCCTCCCGGGTGCCTCGCGGCGGCCTCCCGGGGGCCTCTTGGGGGGCCCTCTGGGGGGCCTCCTGGGCTCGAAATGTCCGTTCGGGTCCCCCATCTGGGCCCCCTCTTGGGGCCGTCCTTGGGGCCTCTCGGGCCGTCCTGGGCGCCTCTGGGGCCGTCCTGGGGCCTTCTTGGGAGCCTCTTGGGGCCCTCTTGGGCGCCTCTTGGGCGGCGGTAAGCCGAAAAGGCGAGAACGCCAAACACTTACAAAAGTCGAAGTAAGGACAATCATCGATGTTGTCCTCTTGGGGCCCTCGTGGGAGGCCTTTTGGAAACCTCTTGGGGCGTCTTGGAGGCGTCTTGGGCGGCCTGGTGGCCATCTTGAGCGTCTTGGAGCGATTGTTCGGCGACTCCGGGCCCTCTTGGACTGTCTTTGGGACCTCTTCGAGCCTTCTTGGCCCGTCTTGGGGCCCTCTTGGGCCTGCAAGAGTCACGCGACAAGCCGCCAGGAACCCCGGCGGGTACGCGCCGAGCCCACAGAGATTTGTGAATTTGGGGTCCAGGCCCCCTAAACCCGTAGGATCGAGGACTGAGATTCAGGGGATTGCGCAAAAAGACCTGAGGACACGCCCGCTCCGTGCCCAGCGGCATGGTGGCGCACGTGTCGCTTGAGGGGTGGACGGGTGCATGCACCGCGAGAGCCCAGAGGTCTTGCTTGCAGTATCAGGGGCACCACTAGGGTTAAGTCGGGCCTGTCCCTCTACAGGAGGACTATTCAAAACTAGTTGTAAGCAACAGCCTGGGGACGATTTTTCACTATTTGTGATTATTTTTGATTTTTGTCTCAACCCTCCTTGGTTGGGTATTCGTTTTGGGTAGAGCACTGCGGTCGCGTCCTCCTCCCGCCTCCCGCCTCCTGTCTCCCGTTTCCCTTTTGTGCGAATTTCGCCATCCCTGAGGGGTTGAAATCAGCGAAACAGTCGCCACTTTCAAGGGCTACGAGAGAGGCCAGCAGGATAGTGAGTGCCCACCGCGGATCAGAATTAGACCTCACCATCCCTGGAGGGCTGTGATCTGCGAAACCGTCGCCACTTTCGAGGGCTGCTGGGGAGTCCAGCGGAGTGGGCACTCACCGCGGATCCAAATTAGACCTCGCCATCTTTAGGGGGCTGCGATCTGCGAGATTGTCGCCACTTTCGAGGGCTGCTGCGGAGGCCAGCAGAGTGGGCACTCACCGCGAATCCAAATTAGACCTCACTAGCCTTGGGCATTGGGGCTGCGATCTGCGAAACCGTCGCCACGTTCGAGGGCTGCTGGGGAGGCCAGCAGAGTGGGTACCCACCGTGGATCCAACTTGGACCTCGCCATCCCTGGGGAAGGGGGCTGCGATCTGCGAATTTGTCGCCACGGTCGATGACCGCTGGGCAGGCCAGCAGAGTGGGCACTCGCCGCGGATCCAAATTAGACCTCGCCATCCCTTGGGGGGGGGGCTGCGATCTGCGAGATTGTCGCCACTTTCGAGGGCTGCAGGGGAGGCCAGCAGAGTGGGCACCCACCGCGGATCAGAATCAGACCTCGCCATCCCTGGGGAGCTGCGATCTGCCATTATGTCGCCACTTCCGAGGGCTGCTGAGAGGCCAGCTGAGTGGGCACTCACCGCGGATCCAAATTAGACCTCGCCATCTTTGGGGTGGTGCTAGGATCTGCGAGACCGTCGCCACTTTTGAGGGCTGCTGGGGAGGCCAGCAGAGTGGGTACTCACCGCGGATCCAAACTGGACCTCGCCATCCCTGGGGGGCTGCGATCTGCGAAACCGTCGCCACTTTCGAGAGCTGCTGGAGAGGCCAGCAGAGTGGTGGGTGCCCACCGCGGATCAGAATTAGACCTCGCCATCCTTGGGGGGCTGGGATCTGCGAGACCGTCGCCACTTTCGATGGCTGCTGGAGATGCCAGTCGAGTGGGCACTCACCGCGGATGCAAACTGGAGCTCGCCATCCCTGGGGGGCTGCGATCTGCGAAACTGTTGCCAGTTTCGAGGGGTGCTTGGGGGCGGGCAGCAGAGTGGGCACTCGCCGCGGATCCAAATTAGACCTCGCCATCTCTGTGGGGCTGCGATTTGTGCAATTGTTGCCACTTTCGATGGCTGCTGTGGAGGCCAGCATCATGGGCACTTGCCGCAGACGCAAGTTAGACCTCGCCGTTCTTGGGGGCTGCCCTTTCCCAAACGACTCAGGGGTTCAACTTGCTAATGCTTCTCACCAAGCCCTTATCCCTTGATCGGGGACCCGCGAGCGTCCCGGCTGCCGTTTGCAGAAGTATATCCTTCCATGCCACGCCATCACCCCGTATAAAGTCTCCCGAGCTACTCATACCCCGCATTGCGCAGGGGTTGGGTATGTCGCCAGGGTCATCTGTTGCAGATGTTTTGTCCATGATGATGATGATCATGATGATGATGATGATGATGATGATGATGATGATGACGATGATGATGATGATGCTGCTGCTGCTGCTGCTGCTGCTGATGATGATGATGATGATGATGATGATGATGATGATGATGATGATGATGATGATGATGATGATGATGATGATGATGATGATGATGATGATGATGATGTTTCGTCCAATGTCCCCCCTCAGGAGGACATGCCCGACCCAACGTTGAGGGGGATGCGCTCACGGGTGGACGCATCGGTCCCCGCTCGCCCGCTCCTCTCCGAGGGGGGCCCGGGGACCCACCCCGCCCAGGAGCCTGCGGAGGCGTCGTCGGGGGGGGACCTCGCCGATCTATCGGCGACTCCCACCAGGTGTGTCACCCCCTGCGTCGGTCAGGCGATCGCAAACATGAATTATCGTGCTCCTCGCCCCCCCCCCAGGGCTCGTTTCGATTCCTCCGATTCGATTCGATTCGATTTCGATGGTTTCCCATTCCGATTCGATTCGATCTGGGATTCCGATTTGAGTTCCGATTAAGGGGGCGTGCATTTGCGACGGTCCCGTTTCCGCTGGAAACCGCGGATTGCCGCCGCCGAACGGGGCGGCACCGGCCGCATTTTGGGAAGGGCGCCTCCCCCGATCCATGGATTTGGCGACCGCGCGCCGAATCCATGGATCGCTAATCCATGTTGACGCCCCCCCGAGCTGGTCCCCCTTCAACTTTCCGCCGCGCAGCACTGTGCTCAGCCTGCAGTGGAGGTCGTTCTTGAGCGCTGCGGTCATGCCGCACAGTGAGGATGAGAGCCACGCTCCAGGGCTACCCTGGCATCCCCTCCTTCGGCCCATGCTTGGCCGCCTTCGCTGGCCGCGCCCCGCTCGCAGAGTGTCGACATGGCCTGGCCTTCCAAGGCCCTTGCGTCATCATCGCGCGTCTTGCTTGGGCGGGTTGACTGCACCGCGGCCGCCGGGTTCAGAGTGTGCTGCTGCTCGTGCTCCCTGGGTGGGGGGGGGATTGCTCGAAGCAAAGTAGCCAGACCTCCGACGTCATCCGGCCACGCGCAGAGGGTGGTGCGGGGGAGGGGGAAGGCTCCTCGTGGAAGCGCCCCTGCTTCGTCGAAGGCGCGGGGTCTTCCCCATCTGCACACGTGGGGCTCGCGCCTTGCGAGAAGCAGTCTCCTTCTCAGGGAGCCATCCCCCCTCCCCCACACCCCCCCTCTGCGCGCACGCCATCCCCTGAGATCCGACGTAGCGAAAAACTGCAACATCGTAAACAATCACGCCCAGAGCCCTAGACCCCATCTTTCTGCGCCATGGTTCGAGCCAGATTGAGCTGTGAGGGTCCTAGGACCCTAATCTGAGCTAGCACCCACGCGCAATCGCGGCGGGGTAGCCCGTCATGGTGCCTGGTGGGCCTGCACAGCAGGCAATCTGCCAGCACCACCGCCGTCCTTATCAAAAGCCCATGATGGACCGTGATCGCGGGGCGTCCGCACATATTCCAGATTGAACCGCGAAGTGCAGTTTATATTGTTTGTTGACAGTGGTGGTGGCCTTGCGCACAGCAGGCAATATGCTCGCACGCCCGTCGCCCCGGTAAAACAAAACAGCACAACCTGCTCGCGGGGATAACGAGCGCGACTCAAGATGTTGTCCCACATTGTATCTTTGTATTGTTTTCTGGCAGGGATGGTTGGGGGGGGGTCATGGGTGCCCTAATCGGTTCGGGTTGGCTGCCAGTCGCCTGGAGAAGGGGCTATTTTAGTAATATCGGAACAGTTCTAAACCCTTCCCCGAAGGGGGCCAAGAAAGATGGACGAGGAAACATTGTAAACCACCTCCGCCCAAAGGCCTTGTGGGACTGCATGATAAAAAGGGGGTTGGCAGGCATCTGGCAACTTGATGCGCTTGCGAGAAAAGGGCAGCCCAGCCGTTGACCGAGTGCCTGCGTACCCATTACTCCAATCGTACCGTCTTCTGTGTTTCTGATTGAGCTCCAGCGCTTTGTCGCCAGCCAGCTGAACGGGAGCAGCAGCCAGGAAAACGCACAGCAGAGTGACTGGGCCCATCATGACACACACGCACACAGCTGCACAACATATTGGTTACGTGATGGGAGCACTGGAGCTTGCGCGCGACGTGTCTATGGAAAGCGGGGGGTCAAGGTCGCCCAGGAGTAATCCCACCGAAACTCGACATCTCCACGACGCCCACAGAATTCAGGAGCCAGGACAGAATCAATGTAACACTTCAATGAGCTCGGTCTCGGCTGGCGTGGCGAAGACATCCCAAGAACCCGCTTCATTCTTCCGTAGCCGTTTCGGCTCAAGACATTTTGGCTCAATAGTCCAGTCCTTGTCAGAGGGGTGTGGCTGCACACCGAAAGTGGAACCAGCCTGTGGCGCCGACAAGGCCATCTTCACTCACTGATGCAACACGATGAGTCTGCTTCGCGTGTTTATCATCTCCTTGTCTCCCTAACTAGGGCTACCCGCGTCCCGTTTAGCTCTTGACCGGAAGGGGCCCGCTCCCGACCCGCCGACCAAAAAGTGTTTATCATCTCCTTCCTGGTTGTGACTACCCAGCTGAGTGTGCGCTTGGACGGAGACGGTGCGGGTGCAGATGACAGGGTGGATTCTCTTGCGTATGAGTTCGGAGGTTTCTCCGACTTCGTCGGGCAGGTGAGCGATGCTGTGCACCTCTCGAGCAGGAGGAGCAGCAGCGGCTTGTCGAGCACGACCGCAAGAGCGCCGAAACCTGGCCGGTGGGGTCGTGGCACGCGCCTTCTCGGTCGAACGAGCAGAATACTGCCCAGGGAAGGCGAATCGGCCGTTGTTCGACACGCCGCATTGTTCCGCCGACGACATGACGGCCGTCAATGATTGAGCGCTGAAGCAGGAGAATACGCCATTTCAGCAGGCCGCCCGCGCTGGGGATCTCAAGACGGGGTCCTGCTACAGCTCGTTTACGACTGATTGGTGTGATGGGCTTGTTTTCCATCACCATCACCATACATTGGAGGGGGGAGGGGATCCTCCTCCCCCTCGTCTTCTTCCTCCTCCTCCTCCTCATCCTTCTCCTCCTTCCCCCTCCAACTTATGGTGGTGGTGGTGAAACAAACATGCCCATCATGATGGCTCGGGATCTCGCAGCGAGTGTCGTGCTATCAGGAGTTCTACAACGCCTCCGCACCATGCGCCACTTGCACAGAGGATTTTGTTTCTTAAATCGTTAAACACTAGTTTGGGGACGATGTGTTTAGCATGGTTTGCTATTTGGGGGCATTGTTTGGCATGCTTTACTTTTCGTCCAAAATCCCCGTGTAGGGGGGGGCACACCCGACCTAAGAGTACAACATGCCGAAGAACTGCTACACTATGTGCCAAGGCCGCGCGTCGAGGAGGGACGGCTCCCATAGGATGCTGGGAGGACTGGCAGGCAGTGCGTGTGGCATACGTCGGGCGGGCGTTGTCGAACTGCTGCGAGGAGCCCCACGATATGACGTGCCGCTATGGTTGCGGAGGACGATCAATGGAGAGGAAGCATGTTGCCAAATAATTGCCATATGTCTAGAACATGTGTTAAACGTGCTTTAAACATGTAAAAACATGTGTAAAACATGGTTAGGACATTTGCGACATTTTAAACACATTATTAAATTCAGCGATCGGATTGTTAGGATGTCCATTGTCGTGGCATCCACGTCGGGCGGGAGCCCCATGACATGACGTGCCGCTATGGCAGGGAGCTTGGCAAGGCGGGGTACATGGAGAAGAACGGCATCGACCCCAAGCGATGAGAGGAGCGTGTCGGTTGTTTTGGGCCAGCATGGTCGTGTTGTCCAGCCTGTTCTCCTTGGCTGCGCTTAACGGTAAGGGAACTTGCGCATAGGCGACCAGTTTCCGCTCACTTGCGTCTGCCCAAAAAGGAGAAAGCGCTCCATTTTCCGATTGAGCAGGCAGCTTAGTTTTATGCCACCGATGCTCGTTTGGAGGCTGACGGGGACCATGGGGCACTTGCAGGGAAAACATCTTGGGCACACGCGCCATGCGTACACGAACGGGTTCACCCTTCACCTTCGAAGTCGTCTTGATTGGATAGTGGGGGGCCGTGCATACGTCGTACAGTACACACATGCGCACAGCGTGCAAGCTCACGGGCCACAGCAACATATTCGAATGCATGATGGTTCGGACGGGACGCGCTGTTCTCGGTGGACAAGACGGCCGCGTCCAATGCAATTGGCCATCAATTGTACTCGCGATCATTGGGTTCAAAGTTGAAGTTCCCACAGCGAATAAAGGGCAGACCCATTGGCTTCAGCACACTGCCCAGCTCGCGCAAGATGCTCCAGTTCTGCGGAGCAAGCCAGATAATATGATGAAGGTATATGCTAGCAATCTGAATACGTCGGGGTAGGACCCTTCCAGGCTGTGACAGATTCATTCTGCCGAGTTCCAAGAACTCGGGGCTCCCGAACACTGCAGACAACCCGGCATAGTTGCTGGTGGCCAGAATCAAGTCTCCAGACACACCACTCGGAGGTTGATAGACCTCCTACCCTGACACGTCGAGTAAGGAACTGGCCGTTCTCGGTTCGCGAGAGGGCGTCGCGGCCGTCACTTTTGCGGGTCAGGGTCCGTCGGTTTCGGCCCCAGGCCGTTTTCACTCAGGGGAGGTTTTACCAAAGGGAGGTTTGTCCACCGTCGAACCACAATGTCCAGTGTGAACCGCGGGGACACTCTGAGGTCCGCAGGATGGCCTCCGAGGTTTCCGCAGGATGTCCTCCGAGGTTTCCGCAGGATGGCCTCCGAGGTTTCCGCTCGGAGGCCCGCAGGATGGCCTCCGAGGTTTCCGTTCCAACGCCGTGGGGGTCTTTTGGGATAGCCAGCAGATTATTGGCGGCACGAGGCGCGGAGAGGGGAACGTGTCCAGCCCCGCGGTCTGTAAGAGTCCGGGTGACAGAAGTCCAAGCATAGGGGGGGCCGTGACCGTGGGCCTTGTTCTTGGCATCGCTCGGACGTGTGCATTTTTCCTTCGGCGAGGACCATCGAGGAGCATCCTGGATCATTTGGCGAAAAATCCACGCACGAAACCGAAAAACGCATAGGGAATGGACGTCCGAGCGATGGTCAGTGTTCTGATGTTTCCTGGCACGATCGAGCGCCTGCTGCAGCGCTGCCTGGAGAGCTGATCGCGTGGTGCCGTGGCCGGGAGCAGCCGCAGCTCTCGTCGCCTGCAGCATCCTCGTGCGTCGAACCAGTGGCGAGGATCGATGCACTGGCTGTCGGGGTCGTCGAACGTGAGGTCAACCATCCTCTTGTTCACGTTGCTAAGGCTGCGCCTCGGCCTGCGCACCAGGAGCTGCCTAAACATAGGCAGCCTCGGCAGGTCGTCTTGCAGCGGCCGCAGCAGGAGCGCCATGCCCAGCTGGAGCGCGAGCGCCAGCAGCAGCCCTCTGCGTACACTCGGGGCCCTGAAGAAGGACCCCTTTTCGTTGGGGAGGGGCTCGGGTTTCCTTGATCGTTCTGCAGTTTGCCTTCGGTTTTCCTGCGGTTTCCCATGGGGAATCGAAGTCCAACTTATGGGAGAAAGGGGCCCCGTTCCTTGTTTAGGGTTCCTTAGGTCAACGCCCCGACTGTAGCCTTGGTGGCGGCGATGTGCGCATCGCGCTTGGTGGTGACGTTTTCGAAGCCGTGGAGCACACCGCCTGCGCAACCAAGCACGGCGAGCTGGGCACGAAGAATGGCTGCTGGATCACCACCCGCTCGCTGAGGCCCTGCCGCAGCTCTTTCACTCCCAGCCTTGCCGTCGCCATCCTTATCGCCGAGCTGACTGAAGGCCTCCGATGCGCGCTCTGCTGCCGCCAACTCCTTGGCCAGCAGCTCGTTATGCTCCTCCCAGGCGGTGCACGCGAACGGCCATCTGCGCGGGCTTCTGGCACCACTTACGAACGCGTCGTATTTTTTTATTCACCTTGGCCTTGAGGATGTCGTGCTCCTGCTTGGCCTCCTTCGAGACAGCCAGAGCATCGCCACGCCGTGCAGCACTCGAAGCAAGCAGGCGCGAGCGCTGCTGTGGCGGCAGCATTGAGGAGATGGCGGCGAACTAGTCGTCATCCATGGAGAGGAGCCACCACCACCACCACCAGGAGGGCCACGCGCCCAAGCTCTAGGCGGGGACTTGGGCCCCTCCTCATCAGATGTTAGGGGCTTAGCGGTTCCACTGCAGCAGCACCTCTTGCGCCACATGAATATGTTCGCGAAGTTGTATCACTTGATGCTGCAGGCCCACGCCTAAAACTCCACGGCTGCCGCATGAAGCCATTTCGCTCGCTGGCGGGAGGCGTGGGAGGCCGCACGTGCAAACGGCTGATCCTGCAGGCGCTCACTGAAGACAGGACGTGAAAGCACAGGGGCTCTGAGCCTTCTCCCTCGGCTGCGATCAAGTTCCGAGCGCCAGGGACGCACGTCTGGAACCCGAGCCAGAGTGGCTGCGGACCTTCCTCCTCCTCCTCCTCCTCCTCCTCCCCCTCCCCCTCCTCCTCCTCCTCCTCCTCCTCCTCCTCCTCCTCCTCCTCCTCCTGCCACCCGCCCCTCGGCTGAAGTCTGTGGGCATCGTCGACCCAGGGCGGCGCTCCTCCTGCCCCCTGAATGAGGCATCCGCCCACCCTGCCCTGGCGTCGCTCGGACGTGTGCATCTTTCTCGGCGTGGACCATCGAGGAGCGCTTTGGCCCATCCTGCGAGACAGCAACGCGCGAAGTCGAAACATGTACGGGGACGTCCGAGCGACAGGCCTCGGAACAAATTAGCGAACACATGTCACATTCATCCATCAACGCCTCCCCCCCCCCCCATGCACTTCGACCGCAGTCTCCCCCGCGCGTGCCAACATTGAGTTTGGGGGGGAGGGGTAGTGTTCAGTAATTGTTTCCCTCTACCGGATGGCCAGCTCCCCGTCCCCCTTCGCCTCCGCCGCCGCCGCCCCGGCCCCCCCGCACAGGTGCAGGCCAGCCGGCGGACCACGCCGCCGCCTCCGCCGCCAGGCTCGAGCGGGGGCCGGCAGCTCTGCTCCTCCTGCTCGCCCCCCCTCCCCGCGGGCCCCTGCCTGCAGTTCCTCCTCCCCCTCCTCCTCCTCCTCCTCCTCCTCCTCCTCCTCCTCCTCCTGCTCCTCCTCCTCCTCCTCCATTCCTTGTCCTTACAAATATCTTCTCCCTGTCACACCCCGAGGCCAGTCTTCAGGGCGGGCCGGGCACTTCGCCGGAGACTTCCTCACCATTTCTGAATCTCAAGCGTTAAAGGTGGCAACAGGTTCACAGAGGGAGGCCGGGTGGTTTTCAACATGTGGCTCTCGCCTCAGCGCCGCGCACATTCGCTTCAAACATTTGCAAGAGCTTTACGGATCGGGGGCGGATTGTTCTCAAGATGTGGTTCTCGCCTTAGCGCCGCGCGCACTCGTGTCACATGTTTTCAATAGCTTCACGGATTGAGGGCGGTTCGTCTTCAAAAGGCGGCTCTCGCTGGGGCGCCACGCACATTCGTTGTTTTACACTTGCAAGAGCTTCACGGGTTGAGGGCGGCTCCTTTTCGACATGTGGTTCTCGCCTTAGCGCCGCGCACATTTGTTCGTAAACCTTGGAAGAGATTCGCGGATTCCCATGATCAGCGTACCAGACATGGTGTATTGAAAGGATTCAGGACCATGCGGGTGCAACAGTTATGTTGATTCGCTGTGTGGAAGTCCCAAACAATGGCGTCCTGCACGATTCCGGATCGTCGAGACGCAGCAGTCAGGTTGATTTGTGGCGTTGCAATCCCGAGACAACGTTTTGGCATGCTTCAGGGTCTTCAAGGGTGTCTTCCAACGAGGCAGTTCCTTCAATGGAAATGAATCGTTGTAGGGGCCTGTGAGGAGGGAGCTTGGAGGGAAGGTTAATTCCAACATCGTTGATGACTCTTTGGTTTACACTGGTCCTACTCCTCCTCGTCCTCCTCGGGCTGTCCTCGTGGACCCAGGGTGCCAGCGCACTGGCGCCAGTGGCCGAGCTGGCGGGTGCGTCTTTGTTTTTTGTTGTTCTCTCTCTCTCTCTCCCTCTCTCTTCATTTGTTCCTTTCTCTCTCTCTCTCTCTCTCTCTCTCCCCTCCTCTCCTCATCTTCTCTTTTGCTTGCTTCGTGCTGTGCTGGAGTGGTACGCGT